AGAGCGAACGGCGCCACTGACTTACCCACCAGTTTTCAGAGCGAACGGCGCCACTGACTTACCCACCAGTTTCAGAGCGAACGGCGCCACTGACTTACCCAACAGTTTCAGAGCGAACGGCGCCACTGACTTACCGACCAGTTTCAGAGCGAACGGCGCCACTGACTTACCCACCAGTTTCAGAGCGAACGGCGCCACTGACTTGCCCACCAGTTTCAGAGCGAACGGCGCCACTGACTTACCCACCAGTTTCAGAGCGAACGGCGCCACTGACTTACCCACCAGTTTCGGAGCAAGCGCGCGACTCTTTAACATTAAACAACGCAAGTGGCGAGCGCATTATCGGTACTCGGTAAACTGCCCAAATAAGGATCATACCCGTTCACATAAGTCAGTAACACGGCATTGCATTTTCTGGATGTGACCACACACCATGCTCAACGTTTCCCAACCAGTAAACGACGTGCCGGCCAATAAGATAACGCGTGCATACTGTTCTTCCACCTAAACGTTGCTGACCTGTGAACTCCAAGTATGCGCGCTTGCTATGTGCAAAATGTCATGTTATGTTATCAAGCGCTTGTTGTGCTTTATGGCACACCTGTACTGTCGCTGTTGTGCACCTTTACAACGGAAATCAGAAGAAGCGTGTTACCAGCTGCTTCTGATGATTTAGAATTCTGTGTTTATGATGACTATTTTTAACAAAAGGCACAATACAGTTAGACGCTTTTTGGTCTCCAGGCGGCCAGGACCAGTCGAAAGCAAAAGGTAAGGGCCATGAGTGGGCAAAAATCATTGTCGCTGATTGAGAGAGTGAGCTGCCCAGAGGCCCTACGCTGTTAACAGAAGTCCTACATGTCCGCCTGCTGGGTCAAGCTCGAGATCTACACGAGGACGATATCTGTTCACGCCTTAGTCTAAAAGCAGAAGTCGAATCCGCGCCAATGAATTTTTACGCGTGGTTGCCGGACATAATTTTACACGCATCTGGCGTCGTATTTGCCATTTCCGTTGGTTAATTCATTTTTGACATTCATTTGACTTGTGCACAATGCTGTTAATACATTTTGAATGCTGGGATATTTGAAACACCTCCAGAATAGTCAACTCACAAACTCGGCAGTAGTCATTAGCCATCAGCTGATCACATCGAGCGGCCCCTTGCTGCCTTAAGCCGGTTAGGCGTGAATAACCTTAGAATTAAGTGCCGTGCTTGATTTTGGTCGCATTTCACAGTCGCGTTTAGTTCATTTTGACGTCCATTCTTCAAATACGTTGTCTCAAAATGACAGGATCCACCATGGTCTAAAAAAATGAGCATACTCCATACACGTGTACACGTAGCATGCCTGGCTGCCTAGTGCTGTACACAGGAAGATAGGTTTCCGTATAGCAAACGGCATACAGGAATTTTAAGGTTTGATGGTCGTAAAACAACGACTTGTTCGGTCGGAAAACAACGGACCGCCTAAAGGTTGTTTTGGGAGTCGTGATAAGCTCCAGGGGGTCCACAATCTTGCGCTCTCTTCTCTCTGGCAAAGTCCTGAATCCGCCACTGTCTGTTTCAAGGGACTTATATTACAGGGAATTATTATAGGATTACGATTTAGACCAAACTAGGCCAAATAAGGAGGCTGAGATAGCGCTTAAGCTCCTTTTTTTTGCAAAAGCATTGCCTTCGAAATCTCCTATAATCCACTCTTGATGAGAAGTGCGGCGACAAACCAGAATTGCCTGGCTCCGGTTCTTTCCGATCCGCAGCATGGTTCAGCTTTCTTCCCAAATCGGGCATTGATAACAAGCAGGAGGCAGCCATACATCCGATTATTTGCCAAGTCAGCATGCATGTCATGACAGCCCATCTCCACCCGATCAGAAACTGGATGTTCGTGAGCTTAGTGTGGTGACGTCATGTAGCCGCTTCCAGAAGCTTGGTGAATCAGCCAGGCTCATATCGGTGGTTGGAGGCTACGATGAACGAAGAGGCTTGAGGATCTGAGTTTGTTGCAGTGCCCCAGTAGGCTTTGATGGCTTTACAGGGATGATAAGCACCACGCGTGGGCACTTGGCCCGGTTGTGCCATCGCCCCCAGACCGTCAATGTGATCACTGAACTGGTAACTCGACAAGGAGCACGCGCTGACGTGCGTCACATTTCCGGTGAACAAAGCAAATACTCCTTAACAATATCGTCGTTTTAGGGATTTGAATTGTCGACTTAGCTGGATACTCAAATATCTGCTCCCAGGTACAGCCGAGAGGAACATTATATTGTAGATTAATGTATATGATAGAAGTTTGCAGTTATATTGGCTTGAATGGGTTATATGAAATTAACTGTAGGTGATAGGTCGATAACACTTTTCTCTCTAACCAAACTGCGCAACGCGCAAAAGAGCCGCCTGGCTGCCGTTGCTTGATAATTGGCTACTGGGGCCTGGACAGGCCTGGCGATGTCAGACGACGAACGCGATCAGTTTGTAACTATTTACTGTCCTAATGGCAGTGGCCGATGGCGCAACCATCATGGTCCATTCTCTCAGTTTAGGCCATAGCGGCTGGTATGTGAGATTGGTGGCGGAAAAGATCACGTGGACCGTTGTGGAACGCAGTGCTGGCGCATGCCTGTGTCGGTCAGCTTTGGGGCACGTTGGTGGGTGGTAGTTGGACGTCCGTCCACACCGAGCAGTTGGCTTCATGCCTTTCTTCACTCCGATCACCAAGATCTGACATCAATCTTTGAATATGCTTCAAAAGGAAAGAGAGAGATCCATGAATGGGGATGACCGCGCGTAATATTCTGCGTACAACGGCCGACGCATTTTTTCCAGCACGACTAAATGTTTATCTTCTGAAACCAATAGTGGGGTCCATCAATCTTGGTTAGTCACGTGGCGTCTTGGTTAGTCACGACGGCTGCATCTCAATGACCATGGTCATTGAGATCTCGACGGGCCTAACAGCCCCTGTTTTTGACAGATTTGAGACTTCAGTGTTTTACATTACCCATGTTAACCGAACTGAGCGCAGACCTAGAGGTGATATTGCACCGATGCAGAGATTTGCCGTTGACCAGATGGGTTATATTCGATGGAACTGAAACATTATTGCACAGCTGTGAAATAATTCTGCTTCCTGATATTAAAAGCTCCATAGGGTGCGATCAGCGATGCAAATATATAAGCTCCACAGCAGCGTCACTGCCCGAAGCCGACTGTACTGCTTAAGCGCATTTTTTTGTTCCTTTGGTTCTTCGACTGGGTTAATTGACGTTACCCGTTTGGTCTGTGGTCTTGCTAGCAGTGAAGTGATAATGCTTTGAACGTGCGTACTTCCACAGTTTCTAGCTTCTATAAATATGAAGACCTTTTTGAGAAGTCGCAGTATACAAAAGCTTTGGCTTGGTGTGAGGACTTACCTTTATTGTAACGCTGTTCCATATGGCACGCAAACGAAGTTTTGCTTACTCGCGGTGCTCTGAGCTGCCAGTTATCATGTAGCGGCTACTGACGCAGCCAATCTTCTTTCAAGGAGATGTTGTATGCCCTCAGGGGCCTTGTCAATTGCGCCTATCGTACTTTAGCTAGACGGTCTAATGGTAAGGAGAGGCTTATGCAACTCAAGCTGGCTAGACCCATACCACTTGAATGTCATCACCAGCAGTGAATCCAAGTGTAAGAAGATCGGAACGGCACGTGCAATACTGACAAAGCCTGAAAGCTCTGTGCCAGGGCGAGTGCAGGCCAAGCCGGCTTATGATAATTATCACTGCCCGGGTAAAGACAGCGACCGGTCCACAAATGCGAATGTGCAGTATAATAATGCTAATAATTGAGCCTTTACGTCGCACAGACTGCCAGTGCCATTCCGGGACGGGTGCCTGTTTTAGGTGTCATGTAGGCTGCTGTGGAGACGTGGCGGGAGCTCGAATCTAAAGCAGACAGGTCCAGAGCCGAGCGTTCCAACCACTTTGCCCCTCCCCCCCCCCCGAACGTTCAATATTGAGCTAAGCTCACAGTGTAGAACCAGCCAGTCCAACAAAGAACATCGGACGCATGTAAATCCCACCTGCAGGAAAACCGGATCGGCTAGTTTGCCATTAAATCCGGTCCACGTTGAACAATGGCCTTTTCCTTGTCATTATTGTGAATATCAGCCAATCGGGCCCAAGCCATCTAATTCCAGCACATAGTATTCTGCGCTTTCGTGGGGTTTTATTGAATGATGTAGGTAGTTAGAGTTTCGAATCACTTTGGTTTTCTGGTCTGACGACCCACATTTCCGAGCACATACTGTAATCGACACGCGTCTCCTTGTGCGTCACGTAGCAATTGCTACGGTAGTCTCTCTCAGGCGCGTGCTCAAAGTGACCACGGCATCCTCTTTTGGATCAGCGATGGGCGAGGTGCGTTCATTGCACTGCCGGAGAGTGTCGCTTAAGACGCCTTTTATCGGTGTGTAAAGGTCCTGTAGGGAACACAGTGTTGAGTTTATGGACACCGTGGGCGCACAGATTGGCTCCTCTCGTGTTTCGTGGCTGCGGATGCGCGCGATCGAAACGACAGCTCAGTACAGCAAGTGTTGGTTGTTTTTAAAGAAAATTATAATAAATTTGCTTCCGCCTGTGAGAATAGGTGCTGTTTTGTCGCAGCAGCCTAGCGCACGTAGTTACCTTTATGCTTTCATCGTGGCAAGTTTCGCATATATCATGTGTTAAGTCAAAATGCCCTGTTACGCAGTCGAGCGAATGAAATCCATCAAAGCTTGGTGGAATTAAATCATCTTGTGTTGTCTTCAGTAATGGCGACAATAAAATAAGCGCGTCATACCAATGCTGAAAGTTGGAGAAAAGCATTCCCAGCCGGTATAGATGTGCATGATGCGATATGCATAACTTCAATAGCAATACCTAGCCTCACATTCACTGCCAACTCTTCTCCGTTGGTTCATCAGCATTCCGTATTTTCTTCGCAGTGCTCTCAGAACAAGACAATGACACAAGTTACGCATATTTATGAGCGAATGATACAATAACAGGATACTGATGGATACTCTCGATAAGCATGCTGCAACACCACAACTGAATCACTTCCCAAAAAGACGGGGTCCTGGCACACAGACATGCCTTGGGAAACAGCGCCTATTCCCGAATCCCGCTTCAGCCACAAACCCCGCGACCTATTTCATCGGGTTCGCCGCCCTATGTCTTCGTCGGCGGCTCATGCCAGACCATCGGTATCCAGAGAAGGTGAAGAGAGGTCACGTGACAGCACTGGCAGTGAAGGACTGGCACTGACCTTCACTGCCACGGGCCAGAACAGTGACGTCGACATGCTGAATGGCTCCGGTCATTGATACTTTAGTCACAGGAAACGCACGTCTGTCTACCATCTGGCACTACAGCTGCTTAGTACATGCTTACGGGCCCCATTCAACCTGCTTTACATATTTCGGCATATATTCGCTCCACTTGGAACTAACCCGAGACTGCTAACACCTAATCTGTATGTGTGTGAATGTGGACCTCTGATGTGTGACGCTTGATAGCGTGGCACACAATCCCAACCGTTCGGCTGCGTTGCTGCGTTCCGTCTGCGGCTCCCTTCATGCCCTGTCTCCGGCGGGTGAGATGTCAAACTTGTTGACGAAGCTGAGCATCTCGCCGAACTGGTGCGTGCAGTCGGGGAAGAACTGGCTGCACATCTCGGTGCCGAAGCGGTCCCCGACGAAGGCGGCAAAGTAGTAAGGGGCCTTCAGGATGCTCATCTCAACCACTTCATCCGCATTTGGCCGCTTCCTGCAACACATCACACGTCGGTTTTGTGACGATTGCGCAGGCAGAGCTGCAGCTTGCACCAAGGCGCAGCCTGAAGCCGTCACATCCGGCTCTTGCGCTCATCACGTGAAACGAGAACCTGCTACGACACCGGCTGCTGATGCGCGATCTGGGTAATTGCAACTCGTTGCTGCTACCTGGTTGCAAAACAGCTCAGTAGAAGAGGGAGGGAAAATTTAAACCATTGACCTAAGAGAATGGAGCACAACGCAGCAAATGTGGCTCATGCTGAGGATACGCCCCCGTCATTTGTGGTAAAGCGCATAGCAGTTCTCCAAGCCGCTAAACGCCTTGATCGTAATACCACCACTCCTCTTACGACTTAGACCCACAAAACCAGACCCCGTGAAAGTGCATTGCGGCATGACCACTCTTCGATTTGGGCATTGTCTCAAGACAAACACGCGATGCAACATCGTCATGACGTTTCCCATCTGAGGCCGACGGCGCTGACAAGTCAGAACGCCGGTGGGGGCTACCGGCTGAGCAGTCACGCGCTGACCCGACGCTTCTCAGCGCCTCGAGGCCAACCGGTTCTGCTCGCGCCGCGTGACCCTGTCGTCACCGGCCGATGTCGACACCCCCGGGGTACGCGTCCGACCTGCAGCGCAGCCCCAGCCGCCGCTGGAGGAGCTCGCTGGCGTCAACGGCGGCCGGGACTACCTCCCTCGCGGGCGTCAGTGCAGGGTGGAGCCTCTCCCGGCACCGGAGAAGCCCACTGGCGCCGCCGGCGACCAGAGCTGCCTTCCACTTTTCCCCCTAGCGGGTACCGGCGCCGACCGGAGCCCTCTCCCCCGGGTGCCGGCCAGAGCTGTCCTCCCCCCCCCCGCGGGGGCCGGTGCCGACCGGAGCCTCCCCCGGGTGCCAGCCAGAGCTGTCTCCCCGCGGGGGCCGGTGCCGACCGGAGCCTCCCCCGGGTGCAAGCCGGAGCTATCCCCCTCGCGGGCGCCGGCGCCACTCGCAGCCTGCCCCGGGCACCGGCCGGAGCTGTCCCCCGCGGGCGCCGGTGCCACTCGCAGCCTTCCCCGGGCACCGGCCCGAGCCCGATGGCGCCGTGGTCGGCCTGGTACGCCTGGGCCGGCTCCGACCGGACGTGATGGCCGTGCCAGGCGACGCCAGCCCACCGGCCGGCCCGGCCGCAGCGCGCCTCTCCCGGTTTGGTGTGAAGGTGAGTCAGTCCAAGGTCGGCAGCCAGGCGCAGCTGCCGACCCGCTCGTCCCACAGCAGACGTGCTGGCCGCCGCGCTTTTCAATGGCGCTCGGATCCCGACACGCCAAAACAGGCAAGAATAGACGTTCAGTTGCAGCAGCTGATCGCCCTGTGACGGTGGTGAGCTTACCACAATCCGTCCAACAACACCAGAAAGATGTCTGCGCGTTGACCGCTATTTGGGCCTGCTTCAGTGATGGAATATAGGGATCTGGAGACGAGCAGTGAACTGTCTTGCAATGGGAGGTGCGCCTCAAGCATGGCGAAAAAACCGCAGTTTAATTTGGTACTCCATTTCCCATAACGCAAAGGAATGACTTAGAGATGCAACGTAATTTCGCACTTTGTCAGAGTACACAGCTGTATTGCTTTGAACAGTGTTCTTCTGAGCTGCTTCATTGCTTTAAGGAGCTGTGGACTCGCGCGCCATGATTTGCCGGTAATGAGACCAGAAAATGAAGGAAAGGCACCACATCGGCGCTGAGACCAGAACATGGAGAATAGGTACTACGGAAGTGCCCAGAACAGAAAATGGAGGCGTCCATGTAAATACACCACACAAATTAGAGAGAGATACCGCAAAGTGATCGAATGCGGTGACGTTATCTGCTCAGGACCATTCTTCAACTCTGGAAGCGTTCAAATAGCCTGGTGCTTGCGAGAAAAAAAATAGAATATGCTGAAAGGTACGGAAAGCATCTCGTGAAACAGACAGTTAAGACAAAGTTTAGAATGATCGAGTACATCTGGCCCTTTCAATAATGCTCCGTGGGAAAAATCATGTCACATTTAAGCCCAGATTTGTACAGCAAGATGTGCAGACAAATCCTTTTTGTGTGCACTCACGTGATGTACTCGTGCACGATAGCTTCCTGGTTGGTCATGGTGTTATTCTGGTTCTTGGCCTCCAGCAGACAGGTAAACTTGGCCACGCAACCGTAGTTGTCCGTCTCCGAGATCAGCATCCACACGGACAGCTCGCTGTTCTCTGACGCCTCGCCGTGATGTCCGTGAGCTCCGTGAGCTCCGTGATCTCCATGGTCGCCGTGAGCCCCGTGATCTCCATGTGCCGCATGATCCCCATGCGCTCCATGTTGGCCATGAGCTCCATGGTCTCCGTGCGCTCCGTGAGCTCCATGGTCTCCGTGATCCCCATGAGCTCCATGGTCTCCGTGATCTCCGTGAGCTCCATGGTCTCCGTGAGCCCCATGGTGTCCATGAGCTCCGTGAGCGTGGTGTCCGGCAGCCCCCAGTTCGTTCAGGTTTCTCCGGACGCGACTGTGGGGTGCTTCACCCAGGCTGGCAGACGCCAGCGTCTCTGGAACACGAACAGAACAATGCCAAGGACCGCCTGAAAATCGTCTGACTCTGCCCAGCACAGTACACTGCAATGCTAGTTTGAGAACCGCAGTCGTGCCTAGTAATAGACGAATTGTGCAACAACTGGTTATTATGATCTATGTCACCCTTCTCACTTGTTACGGATCGTAGCACCTTTAGTTGTGTCCTGTGGTTGATCAGGTTGGTCTTCAGTGAACAAACTGCCAACATTGGATAAAGGCACATGCAAGAGGTAGGTAACTTGAGCATATGTCATTTGTACCTGGAGCAAGGCCATGAAAAACATGGTTTCTTGTGTGCACCACATACCCTCACGATGCAATCAATTAATTTGCGATATCAATTTGCGCCTCTAGATAGTACTTCTCACCAGCTAGATACCTTGCATGTACAGCACACTTGTTCTCTCTCCATCTCCTTCCCAGATCATTTCCTTTATTTTATATTTTAAACATGCCGAAGGAATGCAGCAGGCCATGCCTTGATCCCTTACAAGTCACAAATATTGATATGAAGCTAGGCAGCTGTTCCATTGCACTGATTTGTTGCGTGATGCATTGCGTCCTAATTCTCTACACAGCGGGTCGGGAATGAATAAAACCCACCGCATTGCTCAACATTCACCTCGTGTGTGTGTGTGGAATATCCTGCTTCGTGGTTTGGTTCCCAGTTTTTTTATCGCAGTCATGCTACATGCATGTGACACGCTAGGCTGCAAACTAGGATCCTTATCAGAGCTTCCAATTTTTTTTCACATTGCCTGTTTAAAACATGCAGATCTTCATGTAGTCATGCCATGTTTCGTTATAACATTTTAACACGGTTCTACGTTTCATGGCAAAAAAGCGGCCAGTGATCCCTGTCAGTGGCTACTTTAAAAAATCGTACATATTCATAGGTTGGCAGCGTTCCGCTGTCTGAAGTCGACATGTATCTGTCTAGGCTTTGGAACGTTGTCCTACAGTGTTTTATCCTGATGGTACCATGCCGCCCGGTTTCCAGTGGCTGCCTTCCCATCGCATCACGGGCACTAACAGCTCTTCCGCCGCTGGATAAGATGCAGCGGGACAGGTCACGAATATGCGGAGGCGACAGGCCTGGCAGATGCCGGCAGCTTACGTCATCTCCCTCATGTTGGGGATGATTTCATCATGCAGCAGCACACTTGCAACGCCGACGTTATCGCTCGCCATGGCTTTACTCGAATATTTTCAGATTCTCTACGTGTGCTGTCGAAAGGAGTGCCATCTTTCATTACAGTGGGGAATAGTGAACCTGTGCAGAGTGGCTGAAGAGCAAAGAGCTCTGACTTGCATATCACGACCGATCTTGTCAGACCGATACTGCAACTAAAGTAACCGTACATCATCGTTTTGGTCATCATGATGGTACTATAGAGATTAGGTAATTCATTTGGATCTCCTTTCAAAACCGTGAGGTTTAAACATCCGGAAAAGATATGTGGTCTTCTAGTCGTGTTTCGGGACTGGCTACAAAAAGCATATGGTCTTCTATTCGTGTTTCGGGACCGGCTACAAAAAGCAAGCACTTAGGCCAAGACTGGTTCGGGTTCCAAAGATTTCCCTGGAAGCGATTCTACCTTCCATTTCGCCAGTCGCAAAGATAGCATTGGACCAATCTGCAAAGCTAAGTGGCGTCAAGTGACATGATATGGTACCATATGATACGATGTGAGTGATATGATAGCGGCAGAAAACCAGGGCCCGTTGAAGTCATGGTTGAGCAGCTAAATCTCCATGTAAGCAGATGTGGGACTTAAAAGTGTTTACGTGGAGCGGCATTTGTGGCTTCACGGCCCCTGGAATAACGCCGCCTGAGCCATAAACGAGATACAAAGCCTCGCGCACGGGCCGACAAAACACCTGCCAGACACGGCCATGCTGTGCTGTGTATGACATACACACGTCTCCAGCGAAGGCCATCACTATTTGACTACCGTTTACAGAGTAGTTTGCAAGGCAGCGTCAAAACCTTCAAGGACGCCAGCGCGCCGTGTATCGGTTCCCGTGTGCCCCTTCATTCGTCGGCGAAAAGGAAAGTGCATCCGGCATCCCGCGGCAAACAGCGCGTCGTGCGAGTCCTCGCCGACCGTTTTTGCGTAACGTCTCGTGCATGTGTGGGCTTTGTATGGAAATGCGGCGGCTTCCTCGCACGCCAAGGCCGGTGGATGGACGCGGTCGTCGGCCTGTGCGAAGGCGCGGGCCGCACAGGCCGACGGTACGTGAGAGAACGGCTCGTCCCACCGGCCGCCGGCTGCGGCGAGAGCTGACCGCGTCACGCGGCGAGGCGTTCAGATGACACGCGCGGGAGACTGGGCGGGGGTCTGGGGGCAGCCAGGCGGAGAGATGTGGGCACCGAAGGTGCTGAGGTGCTGAGATGACACACGTGGAGACTGGGCGGGGGTCTGGGGGACAGCCAGGCGGAGAGATGTGGGCACGGAAGGCTGCGAGGTGCTGAGATGACACACGTGAAGACTGGGCGGGGGTCTGGGGGCAGCCAGGCGGAGAGATGTGGGCACCGGAAGGCGGTGAGGTGCTGAGATGACACACGTGGAGACTGGGCGGGGGTCTGTGGGCAGCCAGGTGGAGGGATGTGGGCATGGCGGTCGGGGAGCCACTGAGATGACTCACGGGAGACTGGGTGGGGGTCTGGGGGCAGCCAGGTGGAGGGATGTGGGCACGGAAGGCGGCGAGGTGCTGAGATGACAGACGGCCGACTGAACAAAGGACGTGCCGGTGATCTGGAAAGTCAGGCAGCGATGTCGGGAGACGCCGCGCTGACACGCGACAGGCTCAGCTGAAGGTGTGATGGTGCGGGACCATGGGAAGGCGGCGACGGAGACCGAGGGACTGATGAACGCTCCCACTAGTCGGCGCCGGCAGCCGACAACGGATCGCCGTTCGTTCGCCCGTGAACTGCGGCAGCAGGGGACTCGAAACACGGGAAGAGACACAAATAGCAACTGCCTGAACAGATGCCGATAACCCTAGGTCAGAGATGGACGTCAGCTCGCCGGAGACGACCCAAAATACCCAGTTTAGAATGCGGCAAGGCAGTCCTCGCCTCGAGCTAGCCAATATGCCCAGGTCAGTCGTAGTATCAAAGCCAGATGCTCCCCCAGTCCTGTGACTCACTCCACCGCTACCGAGAGCGACAGGTGACTCGCCACCGAGTGTCACCTGCGGGGACAACGCACTCCGCATTGCTGTGGTCAGCAGGAGGCGGTGGCGCCAGTCCGGAGATGGGGTCCCGCAGGCGGGCCGGTCGCGTCGCCAGGCACGCCGGCCCGTCAGGGACCAGCGCCGGCGCCGCGGGTCACACGGGCCGAGCGGGTCGCGTCGCCAGGCACGCCGGCCCGTCAGGGACCAGCGCCAGCGCCGCGGGTCACACGGGCCGAGCGGGTCGCATCGCCAGGCACGCCGGCCCGTCAGGGACCAGCGCCAGCGCCGCGGGTCACACGGGCCGAGCGGGTCGCGTCGCCAGGCACGCCGGCCCGTCAGGGACCAGCGCCGGCGCCGCGGGTCACACGGGCCGGTGATTTCGGCGTGCCGCCGGCGTCCGAGGCCAATTATTTCCACCTGGCCGGCAGAGGCGATTACACCACCGCAGCGATGAGGTAAGGGAGGCGCGTGGCCGCACGGGAGGGGCCGCGCACGCCGCCGCCGCCGCCGCCGCCGCCACCGCCGCCGTCTCCTCTCCATCAAGTCAAGGCTGTTTGGGTCAGGCTGCGTCTCGGGATCGGCGTTAACGACGTCGCGGACAAGCTACGTGCGCCGTTACTGTGGAGAGCAGATGGATATCTCGCGGAGGGTGAATGGTGCAGCAAGTCAGTTCAGCACGAGGCCCATTTGACAGTTGGCTCTGGAGGGCACAGCCGCGCTCAAAATGCGCGAGCAAGCGCACTTTTATCCGAGGATGATAGTGAAGGTTGGTGAGTTACGTTCGGAGAAATGCGCTAGATCAGACCGGTTTCGGTCACTTTCTTCTGCGGACAATGATCGGATCAGTATCACAGACAACCCTCCCTGAAATGAAAGAGAAGCACCATAGATGTCACTTAACCCTCGTCCCGATTCCCGTTTTTCATAACATGAACTGATAGGGGGATCGATGCGCCCCGTCTCCTCTCCCCACCGGGACTTTATATCGCTAGGTTTAAAAAATGGCGTTTTATGCCAGTTCAAACGTCAAATTCCCCCAAGTCGCTCTTTTCAAAGCTTTACAAACTCTGCACAATACACAGTGCCTTGTCGGAAAACAGAATTCAAGCTGGTGTACACTTGGTTCAATTCTGAGCACTTGTAGCTGCATGTTTTAGCATACATTTACAATGCATTGTTCCGTTAAATGGAGTATGTCAAGGTCTTGTACTTTTCACTCATTGTTAGATCATACGCGTATGATTTTATCAGTTATACCAGTTTTGTGGTAACGGTTCTGAATAACTTATAATTTTCATTTGGAGTTGCCAGCTTTGCGGAGGAAAACTCATTGGACCCCCTGCTCACCACTCTGAAAGTAATGGATTTAATTTATCTTGCTTTCCCGGCGTGAGTGTTCTGCAATATTCGCAACACACTCAGCTGGCAAAAATTCGTGTAATGAACGCCACAGAAACTTGCAAGACTCTGTTCAGACAAAAAGATATGCAAACATGAATCCATTGTCCTTCGAATATCACGAAATGTTATACTGCAGCTTTATTTCTCCTTTATGACGTTTACCACATGATGGCGTGCTGGCTGAAACCTCAACCAATGCGCTTCTATGTAACAGGCCCTTGCAAGTCGCCGCCCGCTGTGCTAATCGCGAACGTTCTTTAATTCCCACGAGTAGAAGCGTCACGGCGGCTGTCATGACAACGACAGTCTTGACAGAAGGGAGGAAACATGGTGCTGTTACAAAGAACTGACGGCGTATTTTGGACTCGAGAATAATAAATTGACATGCTCATTATGTCTTAACGATGCTGCGGTAGTAATACCCAGTATAGAAGACGTCACTGGTCCTGACGTTTCAACGGAGTATGTTTTTGAAATATGCCCCAAAGGTGGGACACCCTTCAAAGCAACAGTGCCGGCCCGACGCGCGCGTTTCGCGGCATCACCAGTTGCCGCCCGCCGGCCGCACCGACCGTAAATTACCGTGGAGTGTTCATCAAAAACCGCCGCTGTCCCGAAATCAGAAAGGCTGGAAAGACATGTTTGGTGACAACACACGGGCAATGTATGCCCAATAGGTTACTGAGAATTTAGGCGTGATTGCACGACTTGCCGGAGAGGTACCCTCAAACACCTTAGGGGCAGTCGTATCGACCCCCTATCGGGGCGAGGGTCGATGGATGACCCTTTCCATGCCCAATAAGACGGCAGCAAGGATTGGATGGGCTGCATCGTTGACCATCAGTGACCAGTTGCTTGATCGGCAGTGTCATACCGACGGCTAACACAAAATATGTGCTCGCGGAATTCAGCGTGATAAAATGCCGGCCGCATTTAAACGCTAATGGGACTGGATTTTAATCACATTAGTAGGGTTTGGCGCAACTAGATGTTGGCCAGCTTGGCTTTTTATTTCGACATGGTGCTGATTGCCCAGTGACGCTCTCAACAGGAACAGCTGCATTTCAATTGCATGTTGACATCACCGTCATTTGAAGTGCACTGCATTTATGTACTGAGCATCGATTTATGCAATGCAGATTGCATTCAGATTGCCATCAGTTGCATTTAAATGGTAATGCCATAGCATTACCCAAGCCCAAAGTCACATCGAAAGTTGCCGCTTGTTCTGAAGAAAGCAAATGCCTGCAAAAGACAATTCATACCATTGATCTCTAAACATATGCTGAGAGGATCCAAACAGAGATATCCCACTATTCAAGACGATGCCAGAAGAAACATTATCTCTTCGTATGCTTGGATATTGCAGACTCAGCAGAACATCCGGAGCAGGTCGCTCCCAAGATTTTATACCGGATCGGCCACTGCGAAACCTCACTGAAAGCTGAAGCTTATGAAAATGAAAAAACGAAATGATGTTAAGAATGGTGCCTACATACAGACACGCAGGCATGTATATATATATATATATATATATATATATATATATATATATATATATATATATATGTAAATATGAATGTATAAAGGGGTGTGTGAGCGGGCCTACGTTTGCACGTGTGTGCGTTTGGATTTTGATCATGAAAATGCGTGAGATGTATCCAGCATGCTTTCCAACACGCTTCTTCGTCGCCGCCACGAAATGCAGTGGGACCTAGACATTCTGAGAACATGTTTAATACAAAAATAGACAGAGAAGGATGATCAGGTTTTAGGATTCAATTTCAAGCAGCTCGTAAACTGTAATGGGAAAGATGAATGGGTTGTTTAAGCTGTGTTAATCGGCGCTGCCAGGTCCGACCAGCATGCATGCGGGTATGATGCGTTGCGATCGGACATGGAGCATTTCGACTGGCGCAGCTTTAGTGCACACCGTACCTGAAGGCCAGTGCTTTATTAAGCCCGTCTGTAGCAAATGCAAATTTCTTGGTAGCAATCTGTTGGGATGATGATCCCCGAACTGTTCTGGGCCTGGCCTGCTTTATAATGTGACAAAATGGGTAAATTAAGCAAGTGATTTGTTGGTAGCCCACCCTCCCACTGCTCCATCTCATCCACTATATCCATTCCCATACACCACATCCTCACACCAAAATGCTTTTCCGAAAAAAGCATGCGGCTTATTCATTTACGGGCGATTCTTCTGGTCCATAGTTCTTCATTTTAAATGCTCGCGTTTGATCCTGTTCCAGATTTATGCATGCAAACCCGATGTATGCACGTAACACCCTGGGCGGTTTTCTTTAAACTCTTATTGTCACGGTAAGGTAATGCGGCCTTCACATGAAAAAGAGCAATTACAGCCAGGTCGCGGCTTTATCACGCCGTGGGCTTTAACCGCGATAGCTGTATTGCTCACGGTCTGTAACTAAATACCTAGCACGGAGCACGCTTAATGTGGATTTTAAATCCTGATATCAGTATCACACAAAACCATGTGACAAAACAGTCATTCAGGTCATACGAGGAACAGGTGGCCGGTGTATTGCAGTTCAAGAAACAGGCCTTGGTGGTGACCGTTAACACGTGCCCGGCTGGCCGGTTAAATACCCTTCGCTCTGGTGGCGAGTCGATTTGACTTCCTGAGACCTCAGAAACTAAGAAAGCTAGAGACATCAAACTCAGAGAGTGTGTTGGCCCGTGTGTAAAATTATTTGTGATAAAATTTGGGGTTCCTAGCTCATGACCTTTGGGCAAAATAAGGTCAAACGGGGTCAAACCCCAGATTGTTCTCCAAAGTGCTACCGAAACATATACACCTGTTTTAAGCAAAAGGTCACTGGTACTCATTTGAGGCCAGTTACCTTGTTTGACCTCCCGGAGATCGTGGTGACCGTACTCATGGAAGAATGTTTTTAGTTCCCCTTTAAATGAACGCCAAAGATTGCGCTTGACAGCATGCTTTTGAAAAAAAATGTTGACCTGGGTCATTTCAGGTCCTAACACATCCTAACATTTAAGAAGTCAAAGAAAGATGTATAATGTGGTTTCTGTCATCAGTTACTTCGAAATGAGCACCTACCCCGCACAGCAAGCTCTAAGATAATAATTCAGGCTGGTTTTGACCTTGGTCTGACCTTCATACCTGGCCATAGATCAATATGATTTGTTTACTCAATTGTTTTGTTGCCTGAGAAATAATGTCAGGGATATATGGATTCTTCTAACGCTTCGTTGTTGTATCAGAATGAACGATTCCTTAGAAATTGTCCTCGCTGTGTCCATGGCCTTAATTTGACCTGCCGTAAGTCACCGACCTTCGCAAGGTACATCTAAGTTTTGATACCAGACAATCTGTTATGCTATTGTCCAGAGCATACAAGATATGGCGCGGCTACGCTGCACCGTTCGGAAACTATTCCGGAAAACCTTTTGGAGGGGTTAAATTCACCCCCCCCCCCCTTCTCGAGCGCGTGTTCACGACAATAACGAGCAGACCACTTCATGTTTTCTTGTTTCAGGCGCCGTCAGATAGAGCAGGGATATCGGGACAGTGCAGGAACCGCCACATGCGCTACCAAAGGCAGCCGAGCGTGTGTGTGTACATGCATGTGTCCCCACAAATTTCCTCCTCTTGTTCTTTCACATTCTTGAATAACAACAAATCATCTAGTCACCGCACGACGTAACAGGAAACGTACAAGACGTTCTTTCCCATTTTCAACTCAATAAAAAAACTCCCAGCCACCACCCGAAAAGTGAAAACGTGCAAGGAATGGCATGCGCTATTGATGACACCTCCCGTTAACGATGCAGCAGAATCATGCAATAACCTAAAAAGTATTTTCCAGACAAAAAAAGGAAAGAATAAATAGCAGAGACTCTTAGCCTTAGCATCTATGAAAACAAGCATACCTCCTAGATAGATAGATCCGCCACTTGCAACGGACAGACCAAGACAGACCCCGGCCTAAACACAGAAGACCCGGACCCAGAGCCAGAACCAAACCCAGACCCGGACCAGACCTACACTGCGACCGCACAGACGCTGGCGCGTCACTTACTGAGGGCGTCCAAGTCGTGGGCCGCCGCTCCAGCGGCCCAGCAGCTCAGCAGGGCGATGACCAGTCCTGTCCTCATGGCGTCCTATCTCGGGCTGGGAGCCGGAGGTCGCACGTGCTGCCGCTGCCGCCGGTGGGGTGCGTCTGACCGGCCGCGGCGCCGGCGGCCGGCGGCGCGCCGCGGCTCTGACGACACGCCGCGCGGCGCCGCAACATTGCACGGCCGCGGCCCCTTCACCGGACCGGGGACGCGGCTTTTTGCCGGCGGCGGGGCCGTCGTGTCACCGGCTCGGACCTCGGTCGCCGCCGCCGCCGCCGCTGCCGTCGTTTCTCAATCGGGGAAAAGTGTCAGATGCGAAAAACGCGGCTCGTGGCGCCGCCATCTCACAAGGGTCATTGTTGGTCGGCGTCATGCGTCATCGAGCTGAAGGCACGCGCGCGCGCGCGACGCCCTTCTTGTGCTGTTGCCGTTCTTCGGGCCGGCCGCCGTGCGTGCTGTCGCGGTGTGGCGGGGCGTGTCGAAACCGGCCCTGTGCCATGCGAGCAGTGGGTGCTGCAATCCGCCTGTGTTCGGTGTCGGTGATGCACCCGGGCGCCTCGGTGCGCAGTGAAAGGTCGGAGGGCTCATCCTCGCTGAGGCTGGTCGAGCCGGCCCCGAATAATCCCGAGTGGGGCTTCCGCATCGCCGATGTCGGATCCTCCCCCCCCCCCTTCGCCGTACCCGCCGTAACGTGCAGCGTATCGCGCGACAGGATACGCCGTCCGCTGGGCGCCGGTGAGCCCGGGGTCAGCGCGCTTGCATGACCCGGAACGTGGGCCGGCCAGGCTGGCTCGATGTCCGGCCCGATGAAGAGACGATGGTGCAACGCGCTTTCAAAGGGCTTAGACGAAACGTGGTTTGGTTGGACGCACTTACGATTCGAATACGGACCACTGCAATAAATCGCAAAGATCGGGGTTACCGCGGGATTTGTGAGCCGTGTGTCACGATCTTGTGCGTGCTTCATGACTGGGAGAGTGGCTATGCTTGTTCTGCCTTTCTGTACCATGGAGCGACGGCACGACGACTGCATGTCTTGATGAGATGCGAATGTGATGTACCAGCGTCTGGCCAATCGACGTATTTTGACAGGAAGAACTGTCACACAGCTGACGTGTGTCCTGGTCGTGATTTGAATATAATAGCTCCATGAAGTCTGTGGAGGCGATTGAGTCTACGGCTCAGTGGTAGTGCGCTGGCTCTATCTGCCTTGACGTTATACCACTATCGCTGCGACTGTCTATATTGACGACTTGGAAACTGGCGGATATGGGGCTGGGGTGCCGCTGGTGGCACGCGCTAGCCCCGGGCAGGGCATGGGTGTCGCAGCTGGAACACAGGACCATTTCAGCAAATGTGCTTCGCAGTGATGGTCATGGTACAGGCATCTGCTCAAAACACACACTTACCGTGTACCTATACGGAAGACGTGCATCGATTCCTCGCGTAAATCACCATCAAATGCTGCGGGAGCACTTTCGTCGCCAGCTGCATTGCATGCTCTTTCGTTCGGCAAACGCTGCCCCGCCAACGCCACCGCGATGATCGAAAGGCCGTGCGGAGCGGTGGAGCGACGGCGTCTGTGGACAGGGGCCTGTTTGGGCTGACACATCAGGAAATGACTTCCGTGGTGAATTAATGAGGATTACTTTTGGTTTCACCGGTCGGCTACCTGTCTGACATGACTGCCGGCCGCTCGTCGAAAGCTGGGTCCACTTCAGCGGTTTCTGGTACACGCTTATAAGGGACTCGCTAAATGGTGAAAACATCCTATTTTGGCTGCGCATTATATGTATTGGCCCTCCTGTTCTCACAATCGTCTACACAATAAGAGTACAGTTGCAAGCCCGTTTAATGTACCAAGGGGTGTCCTCTGTTTGGTATATGTATCTTCTGTTCTGTTAAATGCATCTTAATATCTTTGATAGGAAAATGATCTAACGCAAAGTGTGCAAAATGTCTCATGTTAACATCTGGAACGGAGTTAACTGCTTATTCGTGTTGTAAGTTGTAAGCATGCACGCTGCTTAATATAATGTAAAAGCGACTAACCTAACCATTTTCGTTTTTTCAGGTACGTGGCTACCTGAAGAGATCATGGATTGGCTTTCACCACACAGGTCATCACTTGGTATGTGCTGGGAATATTTACGTTCCTTTTCGTCATCTGAAGCATAAATGAAAACCAAGCGCCCGAGCGACCCTCTCAATATAATAATTGTGCAAGCAATCTGTGAAGTGACTTAGACAAGATTTAAACATCAGCATTATTTCATCTTTGATTTTGTCATCGTTACGTAATGTGACAAATTGGCTGGCATCGCTATATGGTCCTATACTACACGGTATTTATTCTTTCGGGAGACTTTATTTAATTTTCTGTTGATTGCTTCATTAACTCATAAGATTTCATCCCACGAAAAGGTCATTTCCAGTTGAATAATGCGTCATTTTTGACATTGAAGTTAAGAAGAATGCATCGCAAAGCAGAATCAGTTTCTACTTTTTATATAGCCGTGACTTAATAGCCACACTGGAGGGACTCAGAACATATGCCGCCTTAGAAGTGGAGGTGTTCCGCCCTCGGCAGCCTCGGAAAGGGTAACGTATAACATTTCCAGAATTGCTGCGTTATTCAGAAGGCTCCAGTATGTGAAACTTTGATGACCCTGTACTAATCAAGTCTTAGTCAAACCATGCAACTGAGCTAAAATGATTTTGACATCATGCAGCAGCATCATGACTGATGATGCATGCATCATGTCATGTCAACATGCACCAGTACTTTATGAAATACCCTTGTTTTATGATGTGATCAGCAAAATTAGGCATCCGCAAGCAGTTGTCAATCTTAAGCTGAAAGGAACACAACCACGTGCCCACCTGACCTCAGGTCACGATGCACACGTGCCTACCTGACCTCAGGTCACGATGCACACGTGCCTACCTGACCTCAGGTCACGATGCACACGTGCCTACCTGACCTCAGGTCACGATGCACACGTGCCCACCTGACCTCAGGTCACGATGCACACGTGCCCACCTGACCTCAGGTCACGATGCACACGTGCCCACCTGACCTCAGGTCACGATGCACACGTGCCTACCTGACCTCAGGTCACGATGCACACGTGCCTACCTGACCTCAGGTCACGATGCACACGTGCCTACCTGACCTCAGGTCACGATGCACACGTGCCCACCTGACCTCAGGTCACGATGCACACGTGCCCACCTGACCTCAGGTCACGATGCACACGTGCCCACCTGACCTCAGGTCACGATGCACATGTGCAGATTCTGCCGTCATCACTGATCATGCACTGTTTTCGCCCGCGCCTGTAGCCCTGTATGCCTATAACCTACACGACCTTTGATCGATATTGAGCAGTTCTTAAACAATGCGCTTGTCTCTAACCCGAACACAGACCAAATCAACATGTTGTTTTGTTTGTCATGGGGCATGTACATCAGTAGAACAAAAGAGGGGAATGGACACATTTCCCCCTCCATCGTACGGCACGCGGGACAGATGGCGCAGCGTCGTGACGGCAGCTATGCGCTCCTTGAAGCCACCCCCATGCGTCTTGAAGACGAGCTGAGCTCGAGCACATCTTGTGAACGTTGTGATGGGACGTGGCACATCCGAAATGTTCTCAGTGCGGGCCGGATCCGGTTCTAGCGCAGGTGAGGCTCTAAGCCGTTTTCTGAGATGTGGCGCAGCTATGGAAGCGTCAAGGCCATCTGACCGGCACCGGCGCCGGGTGGCGCGGGACAGCCTCCGCCCCAGCCGGGTCTAACGGGCATTTCCGTTGGAAAAAGAACCGCCCACACTTGCTAAACAGGATGTGCCAGGCGGATGGAAAAGCTAACTGCTTAATAAAAACTAAACATTCTGTACAAAGTGCGAAGACATTCTGCTAGAACGATTTCAGGCATGTCGCTTAGCTTTCTTGTCATTGCGCATTGCCCGGGTGGCTCAACAAGTATGCTTATGTTAAAGTACGCTATATCTTACATCCAGACAAAGGAAAAAGGGTCAGGTCACCACGCCCGTGCCACTGTCCCCCCTCCTCCAAGAAAAATAGCATAGACAATTCATGACGGCAGCTAAATCCTTAAGATATTGTCTTGAACGGCACCCTTGCATGCTCCCCGCAGTCCCCGATTTCCCTGGTCCTCAACAGACTGGTTGCCCTCAGAGGTCCGATGGGCGTAACCTCCCAGCTGCCTGTTTCCTGGGCTGGCCTGACTCCTGACAGCACGTGACTTCATCCCGCGGTCTCGGTCACCCCTGTGGATCAGGCAGCGGGCAGTCACAGCTCAGACAGTTACCGCTCGGGGTCGCGTAGCTAACGACAGCCTGCGGCTTAACTCCGTGGTCTCGGTCTCCACTGTGAACCAGGCGGCGGGCAGTCACAGCTCAGACAGTTGCCGTTCGGGGGCACTTGCCTCCTGGCAACCCGCGGCTTTACTCCACGGTCTCTAGTCACCTCTGTGGACCAGGCAGCGGGCAGCGACCGCCCGGACAGCTGACGCTCGTGGTCACGTGGCCAACCGGCTCAACTAGCGCGCTTGCTCTGCTCGGTTGAGTTCACGTACCCGAAACGAGTTTCACAACGTTGCCTGCGTCGACATTTTACGCCAAGGTCGTTTTCATCTATGACCGATACACTTAGACCGTGGCTATGAACTGTGAATGCGCATTTCAAGTGATATTTTACGGGCTTTTCCTCTGTTCGTCGAGCTGAGACACCTGATTTCATTACCGTACCCTGCTGTGAGACGTCATATTGAGCGAAAAATGAGAGCCACAGGCGACTCATATCAAGCAAGTAGCAGCAGGGGCCTTTATGTTTTTTTGCGGAGTTCCAATCCCGTCCGGGTATTTTAGCCGAGCGTAGACAAATGCCTGCGTCAGATGCTACCCAGCGGTCGCATATGCAACCGAATAAAATATCGACAGCAATCCTGTCCAAAAAGTTATCGTCGCCGCCGTCTTGCCCTGTGTGCCTCAGCAAGCCATGACTACTTGCATTATCTCCTGGTCTCAATGCCTGCAGAGTGCAGCCTCGTTTCGGGCTCTGTCCGTTTCA